GGATAGTATCTTGTGTTAAATTCTGTAGATATTTACCTGGGAAAGTCTTATTGAATTCACAACACTTTGCATATGAAGAGTAGAACTGAAATCATTTTAAACATGCATTTCCTCCTTGTGGATAGTGCAGTAAATGGTTTTTCAAAATACTAGGCCACTCATTAAGGGTACTTGAAGTATGCAAGCAGTTCTTGGCTGCCATGTATGGCCCGTTATTGCAAAATACAACTGTTTTGTTAAAGTCCCAGGTAACAATTTGAGAAAAGAGTTACACTAAATTATTCTGATCAAAGAGAAACACAGTGAAAATCAATCTTTCCATCTTATTTTGATTTCTTTCCTGCCACATGGAATCATGCAGTAATTAAGGGGGGGGGGAACCCCAGGCATGGAAAGGACCCCTTTGGGATCTGCTTTATGTGCTGGAAATGGGGCCTGTGGCCAAACAGTCAAGGCCTGATATGTTTCCAAGGCAAAGAGAATCTGTATCAGTCCAGATTTTGAAGAAAAGCGCAAAAGGCCTTGGAAGTCATGTTATATTTTTTTTCTAAACAGAAGATGTCTGTGATTTAAAGATTTTTTAAAAAATTAGACCAAAAATAGGTTGCTTAACTTTGTACCATATCCTTATCAACACTGAGATTTACCGAGGAACGATTCCATTTTAAAAGGTCATGTGGCTTGAGGGGAAAAAAATCTTTCCTGAAAACGGTGTTCCAATACTTAAAAGTAAATTTCCTAATTGCTGAAATGAAAAAAAAGTTGTTTACCCCCATTAAAACAGATTTGAAAGAAATACTGTATCATATTTTTAGTTTTTAACTAGAAAGTGGACTGTAAGAATGCACTTTTCTCACCATTTAGTCAGCTTCATGGCTGATTAAAAACATGTTTACAAATAGTTAATTCTTACAACTAAACCACTTCAGTCTTCTGGAGAACTCAGCTCAGAAATCAGTTAAAGACCACTTATCCGACTTTTCAGTCAAATGCCAGGACTCTTAGTATGTTTGAATCAGATGGGTTACTGTTAAAAGTATTATTTGACAAAGCCACTTACAAATGCTGGCTTCTGCAAATCCTAAATTGTGGCTGCTTTGCATTCAGATAGGACAAAAAAGCTAATGGTTTGGTTAAAGAAATAATTGCACTCTGTGAATTTACTGTGCTCCCAAACATAAGCCACCACCTCTTGAAGCCACTGCTTCACAAAAGGCAAAGTGGTGCAGGACAGCCCTTCCTGCAGATGTTGGACGCTCCCACTATCCTTGATATACAGTAGTTGATCAGGCTGTCAGGAGTTTATCTGGGAGGTCAATTCCTGCCCAGGCTCTGCAGCCATCCAATGTGATGAACAGGCTCAAGCATGCTCCTCACTTTCTTAGTGAGAAATGGCCATAGCTGATTCATGGCACATGTTCAAATTAGCACACGTGCAGAAATGCTAAAGCACTTTTAGCATGAAACCTGCTGTGCCATATAGATAGCAAACACAGACTTGCTTTATGTATCATAATGCCAATTTTTAATGTGTAACAATGGAAGCCTTTTTGCTTTTCATCTGGACAACAGGCCCCGAAGAATGGCACATAAAACAGGTGCTTTGCATAGCAGGGAGTACTTTACAAAAGGATTTTTATTACAAAAATGTGCATTACAACCATAACTGCATTCTCATTCAAGAAGGGATGGTGTTTCTCAGTGTACTCAAGCAATAGCTTGAGCCATTTATGCAACTAACCAGGCTCAGAAGGGAATGGCTAAGACTAACCCTCTGTCTGGTGCCTTAGAGATGATCAGAATAGGAAAGGTTGCCTCTTTTAAGACTTGGCACAAATGAGGCATGGCATTTTCAGGTTGTTCTCAAAAATAACATCACAGCAGTAGAGCATTTGCCTTGCTCCATTTTTCAAGATGCCTCAATACCTAAGGCTAGACCTTGAAAACAAGATGTGAAATTGATATCTGGACATACACAAAACACAGCCTTTTAAAGTTTTCTTTGCCCTCTCTTCAAATTATTTCTGTGCTTAAAGAGCTGTTATGAACTGGAGCCATCAAGTCAAGCTACATACATGGCATTCACAGCTACTAACAGCAGGAGCTTTGCCACCAGTTTCAGTTGTGTGAACCGCCTTGCTTTGCCTTTGGTCAGATCCTACAAAATGTGTAATCCTGCAATCTTAATCCTGCATTGCAACAAGGGCATTTAGTGGTAAACAAAATTATCTTTTAGGATCTGTTGATTACCAGCTACAGCAATCTAGCCTTTTCAAGTGTATTTTTTTCAAGTAGCAATAAGTGCTAGTGTAAGTTTAACTAAGAAGTGAAGTGGCTTGATTAAGGATTGAACGAGGGCAGGGAGGAAATTAAAGCACTTTGCCTGGTGGCATCAGAGCAAGAAGGGCTCAGGAGATGTCCTTACTGTTTGCCAGTGGTGGGTCAGGGTGCAACATTGAAGGTAGCAGAGGGTTAAAGAATTGTCTGTTGTCATGGCGAGTTCCTAATAACTTTTACATGCCCCTTAGCCTCCCACCAATATATTTAGTCATGGGTATGGCAGGGCTCAGGGGAAAAGAGGATAGTGCCTGCCCCCAGAGCTCCTTGAAGCTTCACATGGATTGGGACAGTTTTTAAAAATATATTTAAAAAAAATGAGAGTCAGTTGATGTGGGAAAGGTTTAAAAATTGTAAAAAATAAAAATGACACTTTGCATTTAGTTTAGACTATTTATTACTGGGATTTCAGGCACGGTGGCTGTATGAAACTTTTACATGGAATTGTTTAATTATTTGTACTTTTCATGCCAGAAAATAAAAAGTTCAGAATCTTATGAGAGTCTGTGTCTTATATTGAAGAGAATTCCAGGAAGTGCCATGGAGTTTCACTTCCACACAGGACTGATCTGAGCAGATCGCATCTTACTCTTACTTGGAACAGAAAAATAAATTGTGTGCTTTCTGGGGTTTACTCTCTATTCTTGAAGACTAACAACAAATAATGGCTTGCTTAATACACAGAACTACATCAGAGCCTGCGGTTACTCCTAATTTAAGCACACTGTGGAAAAGCATATACTGTATCAGGGGTGTCAAACTCGCATTGTTGCATCATCACATGACATATCATGATTTTTCCCCTTTGCTAAACCAGGCGTGGGTGTGGTGTGTGACGCATCTGGCCCATAGGCCACAAGTTTGACAGCCCTGTATATCACAAATGGCAAACTCAGCTAAATTTTAAGACCTGGTTCTCCAGGTACAATATGACAGTCGCAGCAGTCCTGTTAACATTGCTTGAAAATGTCTGACATTTCTCCCTCCAGCAAGCTCAAAACTTTTCGTTCATTTTTGTTATTAAATGGAGAAATAATTTAGACCAAGGTTACTATTTTATTCCAGATCAGAGTATATTAGCAGATGTAATGCATTCTGAGAATTGTAAAGAGAAGAGCTGTAGGAGGGTGCAGGAGAAATGGTGGCTGTCCCTGTGGAGCGCTCTGCTCACTGAGAGGAAATACAGGCATCCTGATGATGCCTGGGACAGTACACGCATAACTTTTTAAAGAGGGAAGCAAGGAGACCTGCTGGACATCAGTAAAGAGCATTCTTAAAGATGGAGCTCAAAAGAGCCAGTGTGGTTAAGACATCAGGCTACAAAGTGGGAGAACGAGTTCGAGTCTCATGTTAGATACAAATCCAGCAGGGGTGATCCTGGGCTAGTCACTCTCTCAGTCTGAGAAAGCAGGCCAGGGCAGACACTTCCAAAATATTAGCAAGAAATCTGCAGAGATTTGTCCAGGCAGCCACCAGGAATCAATTCTGATTCAAAGGCACAAGAAAAAAATGTGCAAACTAATCAGTTTTGATAGTTTGGTGTATTATATAAAAACCACACCAGGGAATCAGGGATAGCGGGTTTTTCCTGCTACAGAAATATGTCTTCCTATTATAAACATCTCATTTTGACAACTAAGGATTACCCTCTTATTTTCTCAAATACTGAAGTAATAGAGCAGGCCTCAGAGATGGTAACTTAAATTTTACCCCTTGCCTATCTGAAGAGATGTAGAACCCACACGTTTCTGGGAAGAAATACTTCCCAAATATCATTTGTTGGAGCCTTACCATTCTTTGCTAATCGAAAACTGGTTCAAATGAACACATGTACATAAGTCATATCTAAACCTGCTGGTACCTTTCAGATGGGTGAGACCAATTTTTGTAATCCCTTATTTACTTTTGTAACTCCTTATTACTTGCCTTGCTAGCTAGGGCAGGAAAAGTTCAAAATATCTGGAGGATATTCTAGTCGTCTGCCTTTGACATCAGTTGTTTCAATTTAATGCCTGCTCTCCCCACCAGTGGAAAATGCCACATAACCTAAGAAATGACAGAGTAGGAAACCATTTTCCTCACTCAAATATCATCCAATATGCTCAACATAAAACCTCACAGAATTTCTTTCCCTCCCAACCCACTACTCCAGCAGAGAACTGAAGGCATATAGTAAAACGTAATCCTCATCACCAGAGGGCCTTTTGTGAGAGGGCTACCCCCCCCCCCCCCCCCCCCGCCCCCCCCTTCCCCATCCAGTCCCAGAAAGCAGCAGATGCTTTTTTGAAGAAGGGTTCAGATGAAAAACAATGGGGCTGGGAGCGGGAGAGCCTCCGGTTTTGTTATGGAAATGGTTGGGCTTCGACAGCAATCAAAGAGAGCAGGTGAAAGGCACCAGCTTTTTCCTCCCCCCGCCCTCCCCCTCCCATCTTTATCAACAGAAGAAGCCCAGAAGAGCTGGGCAGGCCTTCATCCCCAAGGACCCTGGGGGTGGGCGGAGAAGAGGCTGGTCTGTGGCTGTAACCCATGTCCCTAATCCCCATTAATGCTTTTAGGCAATTTCAGAGGAGGAAGAGGTGATGTGTTTGTACAGCTGATACCACAGCTTTTTAATGTAACCCAGCTCACCTCCCACCTTCAATTTCACAGAAAAAGACAAGACAGAAAGGACTTTTCTTTATTGGATGGGAATGTGGGTTTTTTTCCAGGAAAAACAGCAGATAAAAAACAGGTGGTGATTTTTGTCCCCTCTTCTTGTTTCACTTGTCCCAAAGTTTCAGACCCAGTGGAAAAATCACCACCGAGTGATTTTCAGAAAATGATCAGCAGGGAAAAGCTTCAGGTAGACAGTTTTGAGGTCTCTCCACTATGAATGAGAAGTAAATGCATCTCCTTCTTCATAAAAGCATCCAATTTTGGGGTGGAGGAAGCCTTCTGCCAGCAGAACAAAGGCCAGGTAGTTGTGCAATCCTAAGTGGACGTGTTTAGGGAAGATGATATTTGGTCACAACTGGGTGGATGGGAAAAAGACTTGTGTCCCAGTAGCTGACAGGGAAAATGAAAATTCGAACCTCAAAGTCCACTGGGCCAGAGTAACAATAACTGTTGGAATTCATGAAGAGCACACCTTGAGGCAAACCATGTGGTGAATTCTACAAAATTGCCTGGAATCATATGGAATTAGAACCTGGCTTCTCTGGCGGGGATGGTTGTGTACAGCTGCAAGAAAATGGTACACAAGAGAATAAGTCAGGAAGACAAAGATGGAAACAACAATGATCCTTTTTTCGATACAGTCTGTGAACTGAAGGTTTTAGTATTGAAAGGTGACATTCTCCCACATGCCCTTGAAGAAAGATGAATATTATTTGAAACATATTTGTCCTTTCATGATTCCTCCCAGCTATTAAGCAAAGAATATGAGTCTAAGCTGATGCAACTCACCTGTCTCAGAGTTCATCGTGGCCAAGATCTTTTGGCTCATGGCAAGCAGCTGGGGTAACAAACTCCATTGAATACTCACAACGGCTGGGCTCTGTTGTGGATGTGATAATTGTCTCCTTGCCACATGAAAGTTTCACCTTAGTAGGAGAAAAATCAGAGCAAATGCCAATTGCCTCTTAAACCTTACTTAATTGAATCGAGCAATTAAAGAAGAAATGACCCCCTAGTTATGCCACAAGATACTACAGATGGTATAGGTAATGAAAGCTGGCTGGGTATCTTGGGGCCAGTCATTCCAATTCAGCCCAACCCACTGGACAGGGTTGCTGTTGTGAGGAGAATAGGAGGAGGAAGGAGTATTAGGTATGTTTCCCGTCATGAGTTAAATAGTAAGGATGAGATAAAAATCTAAAGTGAACTAGCCTCAGACTATCAGCACATATTCGAAATTAAATTTAGGATTCCACTTGACTTTACTGCAATCAGCACCTTAGTAAAAGTGCCTTTTCACTACCACCAAATGAAGTTGAGTATTTTACTTCCCTAAGAGATCAGACTGGGGCAGGTGTGATACTGTCCCATTCTAACCAATGATATACTGGCTTCAGAGATGAAAGGGACCTTAGAGGTCTTCTAGTCCAGCGGTTGCCAACTGGTGGGCCATGAGAAAAATTTGGTGGGCCGCAGAGAAATCTCACCCCCAGAGCACCCCCCCACAAAGCAATTAATCCAGGCTGCGCAGAAACACAAGGCTATGCCGCCCACATGGCCCGTGAGAACCCTCCCCGCCCACTCACTCCTTACCCGGCAAACTTACCTGCTAAATTGCTATTTTTCCTTTTCCTGACCATCAGCTGTTCTGCTGTGCCGGGAGATTTAGATTAGCTAGGAAGCAGGAAATGGTTGGATTTCTTTCTTTCTAGCTAGTCTTTAGATCTTTGGCTCTGCTTTTAAGCACAGCCGAACTTCCCTTAGGACTGAAGGTTCCATTATTCAGTGCAGACTCACGGCAAGCAAATTTTATGTGACAGACTGAGTTAGCTGAGGGCAGATAGATCGATCACTGAATGATTCTGTGAGGCCTGCCTGTTTTGCCTGATTTTAGGTAAAAGTTGCTCTTTTTTATAAAAAAAATCAATATTTATATAAATATTTATAATATTTACATACAAGCCATGCCCAGCCAGTCACATGACCACCAAGCCACACCCACAAATTAGGCCTCACCCACAGAACCGGTTAGTGGTGCCTGGGATTTAAAATTAAGAGTTTGGTGGTCCCTGAGGTTCAAAAGGTTGGCGACCACTGTTCTGGTCTAACTCCCTGCTCAAGCAGGAGGCCCTATACCATGTCCAGTGTTTTCTTAAAAACTCCAGTGATGAAGCACCTTCAGTTTCTGACAGAAAGCTGTTCCACTGGTTAATTGTTTCTCATTATTGTGAAGTTTCTCATTAATTCCAGGTTACTTCTCTCCTTGATTACTTTCCATTGTTTCTTGTCCTGCCCTCTGGTGCTTTGGAAAATAAGCTGACACCCCCCCCCCCCCCATTTGTGGCAGTCCCTCAAATACTGGAATACTGCTATCATGTCCTTCTTCTGTCTAGACTAGCCAAAAACCAAATCCTTCAACTGTTCTTCATATGTTTTTGTCTCCAGATCTTCAATCGTCCTAGCTGCTTTTCTTTGCACTTTTTCCGAAGTCTCAACAACTTTTTTCTAACGTGGTGCCAAAACTGGATATAATATTCCAGGGGTGGTCCTGCTAAGTATTTATAAAATGGTACTAATATTGCACATTATTGTGATTCTATGTCTCTCTTTATACTAAGGATACTATTAGTTTTAGCTGTTGCCACACACTGCTAGCTCTTGTTTAAGTGATCGTCGATTAGGACTCAATTCTTATCAGTATAGGTTTTATTATTTGTTACAGAGAAAAATTACTTGCTTAAAAATCTTCATTAATCGATATTGAAAGGATGTAGAAAAAAGGTTCAGCTTTTCCAGCCTGCACCATTTCAGGCACCAGGGCTTGTATGTTGGTTTGAAAAATCTGTCCTCAAAAGACTTCTCCCCTTGTGCATGAAGCAAAAACTAGCATGTGATAGAGATAACTGTGCTGAATTTTGTCATGACGTGTTCTTTTTATGTTCCTAGCAAGGTAATATTCAGAACTTGATAAATGTACAAGACCCATGTCCACTTCTTTACATCTCAAGATGAAAATTGCCCACTAAAAGAGGATTTGTCTCCCACGTTCCAGTTGGCCAAGGATAAGCCTCTGCAACACAGCACATTATCTATTAGCAAAAAAGCAAAATTGCTGATTTCAGCTTTTGACAGGGAGAAAAATGTATCTGTGCTGCAAGTCTCTCACCAAACTGCTCCGAAGGAAGAAGGCAGGAGACCAGTCCAACCCAGAGCTTCAAGTAAAACTCCTAATCTGTTTAATTTTTCAATTTCTAATGCAAGGAAGACATGCTCCCCCTCTTCCATCTTCACTGCCAAACCCCTCTAGCTGCTTCTCTGTATATCTGCCAGCCCAGTCACAGCCGTTCATTTTCCACCATATTCCTGCAGCATATTTAATGCTTACTTCACTGCAAGTGTACACAGTCATTTCCTCTATGGGATCTGGAGATGACCTTTAATGGGCCCACTTGGAGGTACAACGTTTGATGGAATTCAGAATTCTAAAGTCTATGAAAGTCAATATTCTTCCAAGACTACAACTATTTGCTTCCCATAAAGATTAGCTGTATCCATTTTGCCCCATTGAAAGAACTCACCGATGTAGATCGATTGGGGCCCTGCCAACAGCCTGTGCCATGCTCATATTTCATGATGCTGAATTTGTTATCATCTGAACCAGCCCAGGATCCCCATGTACTAGAAAGAAAGAAGGTAGTCAGTGCACCAATGAACTCCTGCCAACCTAATCCAGGAAGTTCAAAGAAGAAAAGCAGGCCCAACTTATTTCAAAACCACTTTAAAGTCAGCCATTTTAAGGCCCAGAAAAAAATACATATACAGTGCATATACACACTGCTCTTCCCTCTATCAAGAGAGGTTGGGTCATGAGAAGTAATCCTTTAGAGATAGAAAAGCCCGAAGACAAGCATTTTAAAAGTTTCACAACATGTTTTGTGAATGACTCTTTTTCAGCATAATGGAGAAGAATTTAATCCTGATACTACAGGTAGTCCTCATTTAGCAATCACAATTGGAATAAGCACAATTGGTTAAGTGAAGCAGTCATTAAATGAAATTGTGACTGTCTTATGACCTTCCTTCAGCTTTCCTTTGCTTCACAGATCTGTAAAGATTGTCAATGCAAAGTTTGGTCACAAAGTTACTTTTTTACCACCATTGCAACTGTGAATGGACACTGTTCCAGGCACTCACTAAATGAAGATTAAGGAAATGCTCTTAATATGCATATATAAAATGAATACATGGAAAATATATAAAGTGTCATCTGTGCTCTAAATATGTGATCATGACACAATTCTACTGCCTTCCAAAATAGAGTAGTAATAGCAATAGCACTTAGATTTATATACCGCTTCACAGTGCTCTACAGCCCTCTCTAAACAGTTCACAGTATCAGCCTATTGTCCCTAACTATCTGGGTCCTCATTTTACCGACCTCGGAAGGATGGGAGACTGAGTCAACCTTGAGCCTGGTGAGACTCGAACTGCCAAACTGCTAGCAGCCCACAGCCCGCAGGAGTAGCCTGCAGTACTGCATTCTAACCACTGCACCACCACAGCTTTTTCAAAGATTGGGTTAGGGATGAAAGGAGGAACACGGTTTGATACACTTAGATTAGGGTTTGATATACTTAGGGACTTCAGGGCAGAATCAAAACCCAAAAGAGGGGCTTTTTAATTCATAGCTCAGCCTTTTGACCATTGTACCTGATCACTTCTCAATTTAGTTCAAGAAGCAAATGACCTCTGGTTGCTATGAGCAGCATGGATGCCATGCTCAATCCTCAATCCTCAAAGGGTATGACAGCATCAAGGTCTCTTACCCAAGGTTAGTCTCTGAGCTGCCATGCTTAGGTTTCTGAGACACTCTGTTAAAGGGGCAGAGGCGATAAATATATCTAGAAAAAAGGAAAAAGCACAAGAAATGTATGTCATGCCTTGCATGATGATTTCCATATCTCTCACAGTAAGCAAATTCCCTTCTAAGACTCAGCATAAACACTTTTAACTATTAGTCCATTAAGTAAAAGCAATCCTGGGACTCTTTTCTTTCCCCATCTCAGAATTAGGCAAATAGCAGGAGTTAGCCACTATTAATATTTACATAAAACAACTGCCAACTTAAAAACAATTAAAAGCCAAAAAAACCTGAGGTTGTGAATTGCTTTTATAATGGTTTGCTAGAAGACCAGGTAGGTTGCCTCATTGAGTTGAGTACCTTGCAAACATTTCCAGAATTGGTGAGAGCTAGGAAACAAATTTTGTGTGTATATACCTGGGTATAGATAAGGCATCTCATTTTCACCAAAATACAACTTTGACCTGGTAGGAGGAGCACTGAATCAGCTCAATAATCCCATATGAACAACTATTTAGTATACTACAGAAGAACTGCAGCTGATAAAAAAGTTACTACATTCTGCATTGCTTGAGGGAAATATATAATCAAAAGAGATGCAAATGTGGCTGAACTGGGGACTGAGATCACTCTCAACAGAAACACAATTCAATATAAAGAAATAGGCACCTACTCATTAGTAGTGAGTTCATAGCACTGGCCATACAAGTAAGAAAATTCTCCATTTGGACCAAAATCAAAGGAAATTTCTTTCTCCAGATTCCTTGAAAAACAAATAAAATAGCAGAAAAGACACTGTTAAAGAAAAAAATATATAAAAATAACAAGATAGATGGCTAAACTGATTAATAGTAATTATTAAAGTTTTAGGAACATTTGTAGTCTCATTTAACAGAATATGGTATGATTTTCCCCCAAAATCCCAGTTCCACATTCTTTCCAAATCAATTTTCCTTGACATCTGACTCCTTCAAAACAATGTTGAAGCTGTATTCAGAGAGTAGATGACTTTCATAAATACCCAACTGGTTAAAGTAAAACAAAGTAGCTGGAGAGGAAAGGTTCCCCTCCCTGGCAGACTTCAGCTTTAGGGAGGGAATTCATAATACAGTAGAACCTCTGGTCATGAACACTTCTGACCACGACCAAATCGGGTGATGACCAAAAATTTTGCAAATTTTTTGCATCTAGTCGCGAACAAATACTTGGTGGCGATCAAACACAGCCACAGCAATTTCCCCTTCTGCATCATTTTTTTTTTTGTATGTGCATGCGCAGTCCGTCTCGCTTCCAGTCACGACCAAATCAGGTTGCGACTGAACTCATGGAACGGATTACGGTTGTGACCGGAGGTTCCACTGTATGTGGAGGGGCTTACGGGAACTGAAGGGGTGGAGGACAGCAAAGAATAGGAAGGGAAAAATTTTTGTCATCATCAAGAAAAGCTTTTGTGAAATATATGTATTTTGAAGAAAGATGAAAAGCGAGAGGACAGATCTCTCAATTAGGGAGTGGGAAAACGAAAGATGCAATGGATCACCTGTAACTTGCTGCATTTGACCAAAGGGACCCACTTCCTCAAATTGAGCCAAATCCACAATCTGCCTAGGGATAGTAACCACTGTTACTTTTCAAGAGCTGCACCCAGAGTTCAGCCATCATCATTAAGATGCATAGAGAGGGAACTAAATTGGCAGCATCCTCTTCAGTTCAATCATGATTTTGAGCCTGAAGCATGAACATGGGTCTTGCCCACTCACCCACAGAATGGTAAAAGGCAGGCTTTACCTGCATCAATGATCAATGCCCTTTTTACTCAAACTCTCCCTTTAGGGTACCGTGACTGCGTTATAAAACTCCAGGCAATCTCTAGATGGCAACAAGGAGGTAGAGTTTTTCTGAATCTCTTTGCTTTCATATGGTGGTCATCTGGATTTGTTTATTTATTTGTTTATTCATTTAAGCAGCTCAGATCTTATAGCCTGATCTTTGTCAAGAAGCTGTCTTCTTTGTTTCTTGTCCTTATCATCTGTGTGCAGACCCGTGGGACCCACAGAGCAGAAAGAAGGCAAGTTAGGGAGGCTGAATCCCATGGTTACCGCCCTGTCACCAAGGCTACCCCTAATTACAGGTCTCTCTCCCAGGCACACAGATGGATGCAAAGCTCTTTGTCTGATGAAAGACCTGCCCTTAGCTAATGCTTGGCCCCAGTCAGATGGAAAGAGCTTTCAGGAAGAAGGAAGCATTTTCCTCTTCCCTGGGCAAAATTAATTCTGCTCTTCATTCTTCAGAAGCTTAATACAGTATCCTTCCATTCCTCTATATTGTACATCTAAGCCAAGCTGGCAAGAGAAGGCTCCTGGTGCACACAAGGATTTTTTAACCAAGTCTTGAGGGAAGAGGCTTCAACCTCTCTGCCAGCAGCAGCCTCACCTGTCCTAGGAAACAGGAGCAAGCCTGTGCTGGGAGGCTAACAGTCAACTCTGAAGAAAAGAGGGCTGGTAATCTAAAAAGTGAGTTCCAGGGATCCAAATTCCAGGAGGAGGATAGGGTTTTGGGTTTCATTCCCCAAAGGGAAAAAAAAAACTGCTTTGAAAAGTGACACCAACAAAACAGGTCTCAGCTGCTTCTCACAGCTTCCATTAACTGCATGCCTAGCTAACGGATCCTCTGTGCCCCACCTGTCCCCTTAAAAGCTTTCCTAATGGGCCAAACTGGAGACCTCCCAGGGGGTGAGGAGGGGGCAGGTTGTGCTTGCAGCTACAGCTAAATTATGGCTAGATGGAAATCACCCCCTTCTACAGTCAAATTTAAAGGACTTCAATTAAAGCTCTTGCTTTGCACCTGCCATTGCAAGCCATTTTCTCCCCAAGGTCATGATCCAGCATCTTACTTGCACTACCGCAGATGACAAAATGCTCTCCCTTAACTCCTTCAACCATTCTATCATTGATGTTGAAACAGAACTTCAGGGAGAGGAATTTGAGCCTAGTATTCTCCTTGACATGCTAGTTTTCTCTATGCAAGGGAGGAGACTTAGGTATGAATGCCTACTGCTAATGGAAGTAACAGTAGTTTTCATGTGACTTTTTTATAAACTTGGAAATGGAAATCATAGAAATGGAAACTGCTACTGCAGGAACTGAAAGTCCATACCCCAAGTGCTTCACAGATCTAGATCTCAACTAAGATTCAGCAATGGACAGCTCTATTTGGAACCCCGCTCCCCTTGATGGAGACAAAGCAATCTGCATCTCTTGGCTTAAAGAGCCCAGATACTTCTGAGTGGAGATAGACTGGGCACCAAACATAAATATCTGCTGGGGAAAGGATGGCTTGTGCAAGAGAGGTTCCCAACAGCCTAGGCTGGAGGCAACTATATTTAAGATGCATTTAAACTACAGAAAGTTGATGTACAGGATCCATCCTTCTCCGGTGACATTTCACTATGGAAACTTACCTAAACAATCATCTTTCACAGTGGATTTTTTGCTAGAAATTATAGAACATAGCTTTATAGGTAAAGAAAACTTTTAAAAATTAATCAGAAAGGACTGACTGATTGCGTTGATCGCTGTTTAAATTGGCACAAATCTGTATTCAGATTACACATACACAAAATTGTTCTCAAGAAAAAGTGGGAAAGAGTAATTAAAAGCACAGCGAGAATGGCTGCATTCGGAGGATCCAATATAGCTTGTATTATGTTTTTCGGGAGGAGGAAGAATCTCCCAAATTAAGACTCCCCCCAATAGCTAAAAATGAAGTGTCTGTCACCAGGGTCAACTAAACTAAGCATGCCGAGATCTCCCATCTGCTCCCTACAACCACCCTCCCAGTCTAAGAGCTCAGGAGTGGTGTGATTACTGCAATAATTATGTATGCAATCAATAGAAGACAGCTTGAAATTTATTTCTGGCTTCCATCCTTTACCCTCCCCCACTTGAGACCTGGGGAGAAAAAGATGTGAGTCGAATGACAAAATAGCACCCATCCCTCCAGAGCAAACCTTTTCATCTTTATGGAAAATTCAAATGGAATATGCAAGTTAAGACACATCAAGATAGCAAGAAACAATAGAGAACAGCAGGACTACTAAAAACCAGTTTGTTGTTCTAATTTCTTAGTCTCACTTACCCATTCACCCCAGGATAGAATTCATGTTGATATTTTAAGCTCATGAACTTTCTAATACCACCCTGCTAGGTTCCCAGATTTTAAAAAAAGGCACCTCCCCATCAAGATTAATAGGTGAATGGAAATACAAAGGGAAGGAGCCCTTTGGACCACATCTCTAGAAAAGTTTATGAAAATAAGGTGGCTTTCTGAATTGGTCACAAGCAAATGGATAATCTACTTTTGGATTCCTGGATTCAGCCAGGAGCTACAAATGTCAGAAACTAGTGGGAAGCGATGTGATAAGATGGGCTTCCAGATTACCTATAGGGAAAACTGCCTCATTCTGAACTGTTCAAAAACATAATGGGTCAGAAGACTGTTCCTACATTGGTGGGTGTCATTGAAACAGACATGGGTACCTATTACTAAGGAACTAATTGCCAGGAGGTTAAGATGCATCAGGAACCCATACAAAGATAAGCCAAAGTAGCAACATTCATATTCTTATTCACAGAAGCTATCACCCAGTTGAACAGTTACAGTTTTTCTCTCCAAAGTCCTACCTGATTGATTCCTCCATTTCTTTCAAGGACTTCTCTACTTCTTCAAATTGTTCTCGGGCTGTTTGGGCAGCTGGAAGACAGGTAAAAACTAAGACTGGCTGAAAAATTGAATAAAATCATTATGTACATTTGCTTTTCCATAGAATTCCCTTCTAGACAGTAGTATTGGGGCCTGGTTAAATCACCATACTGTATATCTATTTCACAGAGAGCATTAGTAGTTATTTGTTCTTCTTGCTATCTGAACCAGTTAAGCATCATAGCCAGCTGGAAGGATAGGTAATATCCATCCCATTTCACAGTGGACAACTAAAGCTGGGAACACAACTCTGTCATTTTGGTGCATGTGCAAATCTGACTCAAGATGATTCACTTATCTCCTTTGCAAATTTATTCCTCGTCAGCCTTTCCAAACTTAATGATTTTAGATCTAGCCTCAAACTGCATGGTTAAAATATAATTCCAAGCATCTTGAGGTCATTGGGAACTGCTTTGCATGATTCCAGGTGCAAACAAAAAAGAACAAATGATTTAAATTTCCTCTCTTCACACCACTGGATTTTGTCCAAAGAACGAAAGACATCATAAAATAATAGATTTGCTGCTCTGATTCAACCTATTAATAACTATGTGAAAGGACCATTTCCTTCTTATTACAAATCAAGAGCTCACCAGTGGCCAAATTCCATATTTTGGGGTCATAGATTAAGAGAAACATGGGGGATTCTGGACATCTCTGCACTTGACAGAAGATAACGAAGCTATGGAGAAAAGTAATGGGATGCACTTCCGCATTCAAAGAAATGTACAAATATAGGTTAAAGCTTTCTTCATTTCACTTTTGCATTATTGGTATCTGATAGAATATTCTTCAAGTCAAACAAAATTTTGGATCAACAGAATTAAAAACTAAAGTAATTTTTCTAAGTTGAATACAAATTCTATAATTATCTTACAGATGGGTTTAAGCTTTATTAGGCCATCTCTGTGCAGCACTTAAGAAATTATACTTTGTCAGTGATAAACAAAAATGATTCATGACATTATCATCAAGGAACATAGTAAACAAACAAAAAAGCCATTAGACTGAAAGCCTAGGAAAAATTCTTCCCTGTCTACGTAGTTTGAAATTGGGGCACCATCACTGAAAGCCCTGCAGTTTGAATCAGTTTCTGTTACTTTTGATGATAGGACGATCTGGATAAATTAGCTGAAGTGGATTTAATATATGAGAAGATTTATATACTGTGATCCTTCAGACATTCCGGCTGTTAAAGCTAATACAAGTATTTTGAATGATGCTTCAAAATGAATTGAAAACCAGCACAAAGGAAGTGTTCCCATCCTACTTAGTAATCTAACTGCTGTATTTGTTTCAGCTCCACTTGTAAATAGAATCCAATAGCAACATTAAATACAATACATTCCAGGAAATCCAACAAGATGTTACTATTGTAAGAACTTGGATAATTGTAGCACCTATATTCTTTACAACCACCCCATGGGGGAAAATGTGCTTTTTAGGTGCCATTATGTACTTCTGAAATAATGCTGTAGTGTTAGATTGCAGATCCATTTAGCAGAAACCTGCCTGCTAAAATCTCCTAGGGAGGAAAATATTGTTGGATCCCTAATATCATTTTTATAACACATATATTTATTTGCCTAACCCAGGGGTCTGCAACCTTAAACACTCAAAGAGCTATTTGGATCCATTTCCCACAGAAAAGAAAACAGCAGGAGCCACAAAACCTGGGTGGGCATGGCCAACTCGATGTCACTCACTCCCACCCAATCACACGACCCTCCCCAACCATGCCTACCCAAGTTTTGTGGCTCCTGGTATTTTCTTTTCTCTGGGAAACAGGTATCTCTCTCTCTGTGTCTCTCTCTTTCTCTCTCTCTTTCTCTCTCACACACACACCTCTCTCTCTTTCTCTGTCTCTCATCTCCCTCTTTCTCTCTCTCATCTCTGTTTCTGTTCCTCTCTCTCTCATCTCTGTTTCTCCCTCTCTCATCTCTCTCCCTCTTTTTCTGTCTCTCTTTCTCTCTCCTTCTCTCATCTCTTTCTCCTTCTCATTGCTCTTTCCCCCTCTCATCCCTCTTTCTCATCTTTCTCTCATCTCTCTCCCTGTCTCATCTTTCTCACCTCCTTCTCTCTCTCTCTGTCTCTTTCTCTCTCATCTTTCTCCCTTTTTCTCCCTCCCTCCCTTTCTCCCCTTTTCTCTCATCTCTCTCTCTCTCTCTCTTGTGTGTGTATGTGTGTATGTGTTCCCTCTTGAACCAATTCCAAAAATAAATATAATATGGGTGTTGTTGTTGTTGTTTTTGCTGATATTGTTCTTTCTTCTTCTTTGGGTGCTTTCTACCATACGATTTAAATCCAGAGTCACTTCAGGTTCCCAGATAAATGAAGCTCTTTTGTCCCCCTCCTGTGGCTTCCTGTTGGCTGAACCCATCAGTGACTGGCCCCGCCCTGCCCCTCAGAGAGATGGGAGTATCAGACCATCTTATTTGTCTCTTGAGAAACCTATATGCCAGTCAAGAAGCAACAGTGAGAACTGGACACATAACCATTGATTGGTTCAAAATTGAGAAAGGAGTTCGGCAAGGCTGTATACTGTATGCAGAGTACATTACGAGAAAGGCAGGGGTAGATGAATCATAAGTTGGAATTAAGATTGCCAGGAGAAATATCAAGAACCTCAGACATGCAGATGATATCACTATAATAGCAGAAAGTGGAGAGGATTTAAGAGACTCTTGATGCAGGTGAAGGAGGAGCATGCAAAAGTTGGCTTGAAACTCAACATTAAGAAAACTAAGACCATGGCATCCAGCCCCCTCAATTCCTGGCAAATAGATGGGGAAGAAATGGAGGTAGTGACAGATTTTATTTTCCTGGGCTCCAAGATCACCGCAGATGGGGACTACAGCCAAGAAATTACAAGACACTTGCTCCTGGGGAGGAAAGCTATGGCAAATCTAGACAGCACACTAAAAAATAGAGACATCACCCTGCCAACAAAAGTGCCTGTACTCAAGGCTATGGTTCTCCCAGTTGCAATGTATGGCTGTGAAAGTTGGACCATAAGGAAGTCTGAGCGTCAAAGAATTGAGGCCTTTGAACTCTGGTGCTGGAGAAGACTCCTGGGAGTCCCTCGGACTGCAAGGTGATCAAACCGGTCAGTCCTAGAGGAGATCAACCCTGACTGCTCTTTAGAAGGCCAGATCCTCAAGATGAAACTCAAATGCTTTGCCCACCTAATGAGAAGGAAGGACTCACTGGAGAAGAGCCTAATGCTGGGAACGATTAAGGGCAAAAGAAGAAGGGGACGGCAGAGAATGAGGTGGCTGGATGGAGTCACTGAAGCAGTCGATGTGAGCTTAAATGGACTCCGGGGGATGGTAGAGGAGAGGAAGGCCTGGAGGAATGCAGGGTCACGATGGGTCAGATACAACTTCATGACTAACAACAACAACAACAACAACAACAAAAGACAACAGGACTAGTAATGGAGATTTTCAATCCCCTAAAATAAAAGGTTATGCACAAGAAGGCCAAAGGTATCACCAAAACAAAATTTAACTGAACTGTTATTCTGGATATGTACATTTTACTCTGCTCTACTCTACTTGCAGAATCCAACTATTTTCATTTAGAACAAAAATAAAAACTAAACTGGTTTTTCATTTCAATTCTATTTGGTACTGGTAGGCTCCCCATTGCCTTCTCAGAAAGCCAGACCATGAGAACTAGAGCAAACCCAGTGCTGATATGCAAACTGCATATCAGCACGTAAAACTGACGGTGTTATTTCTTAGCTTCCAAAGCTAAATCAACACATGGTGACAATTCTCCACCTCTACTCAGGGTTAAACTAGAAGCAGAAGACTCATTTTAAACTGATGGAGTCGCATTAAGCAACCAGCTCCCAGTACTGATTGCCCTTTGCTTCCTGGGTATATGAGACTTGAGAAACAATGCATCTGCTTAGAAATGCTAATGGCATTAGCTATGTAGGTGCTACATATCAGAATGCAAAGTGCAGACATGCCTTGGGCTTCCTAATTCATTTTATTATAACAACAAAACTGCCTTTTTGTTTCATCTGATACATTTTGACAAGCTCTATCTTATAGCACTTGTGAGAGCTTGGTTGGACAGGCTTTGGAAGAACTGAACAAGGGCCAATATTTGGGGAACAGCAAAGACAAATGTTTTTATCTGTTTGGAAAAAAACAGGGAGGGAAGGTTCAGATAAATTCCACTAAAAATACTCGACCCTTTCCAGAGCAGTAACACCTCCATGGAACATAAGTCCTGTGCTGAAATGGAATCAATTAATCATCAATCTATCAATTTATTTTTTGACCACTAGTCAAAAAATAAAACCTGCACAACTGTGGCAAATCATTAATAAAATACATCAAAAATGTAAGGAAATCAGCAAAAAAACCATTAAAACAGTGCTATTGCAGCAAGTAAACTATTAGACAACCTTAGGAACTTTTGATAAATTATTTTCTCTGTTTAGCACCAGCCCATGAGAAGTTTGCTAATTTTCACAGCATTGTCTCTGTGTCAGTAAAAAATAAGGAAAGGAAAAATCAGATAGGACAGGGCACAGAATGAATCCAACACTTCTCAGGAAATTAAAATGTTATAACTATGAGTGTGAATTTCAGCTCTAGTCAGAAAATGGTCTGGGGAAATTCAAAAGAAGAATGGGAAATGGCTATGATACCGCAACACGCATCTAGTTGAACATATGCATCGCCAGCAAGTTCTATTTTTAGACACAGGTAAAGCTAACAGCTCTTCTGCCCTTTCCAGGGAAGTGACTCAGCTTTTCCTGCTTGGTCTCCCTAAAACAGCAGACATGGCCAAGAAATACATCAATTTAAGGTATTTTTATCCCACTTTCAAAGGCACATGACAGCTTATAAAAACCAAAGAACACACACACACACAAAACCCAAGTAAGATTAACACACTACCAGCCATTGAGCACTCAAAAAAGTGACAAAATCAGTTAATACGCCCACCTCCTGAAACAGCAAGGCCTT